AGTGTTTGCAAAAGTTCTGAGGTACTGTCGCCATCCTAGGGGGACCATGGATAGGGGGCCTGCCCAGCTGAACGAATTAATTTCCAAAATTAAACGCAGCCAGTATGACCCGAGTATAGATGTCCATGAGAATGCGTGCGGGGCGAAGAAAGTAGACCCACAGCGTATTTCTTTGCCCGATCGTGCCGGAATTTTGGACCCGGCTGATCATCTCACAGGCCAGCAGCTGAAAGAGTTTTTGGAAATGCCTGTTTCTATCCCAACCAACTGCCTGGTGGGAAAAGACTTCCCAGCTTGTCATAAAGTTGATGATAAAGACTGGCCCCACCTTTTTACGCAAGCTGCACAGCCACAGAATGATCACCTTTCTGCCGCGCGACAAAGTTTTGATGGAGGGTCGCAAGCTCATAAAAAGGGGGTCTTTTTTGTGTCCCTCATAAAGCTGACTCCGACCGACTCATCAATGATCGGCGCCCCTTGAACCTCAGGGAGGGGCGGTTGAAGTGGTGCGCTTTGCCTTGTGGCCCCATGTTAACCCAGCTGATATTGGGTGCACATGAAAGCATAAGAGCTAGCGGGGATGACCTCTCAAATTATTTTTATCTCATCAAGCATCTGGAAATGTGGCAAAACAGGAACTGCTTTGGGAAACCAATCAAGGGGCATAAGCTTACAGATCTGGGATTGGATCCAAATGTCACTTATTTGCCATCATTTCGAGTACTTTGCATGGGTGATTGTAATGGGGTTGACTTAGCACAAGCTACTCATGAAAGCCTCCTTCGAGCAGTGGGGTGCCTGCAGCCACACCAAACCCTAGTGTATGGGAAAATTTTCCCTGCTTCAAGAACGCTCGAAGGCTTGTACATAGATGACCACCTTGCGTTCCAGGTTCTTGACACCAAGTGGCTCCGAGCACGTGGGATCCAGGAGGACGAAGAGTTGACTGCAAAGGCCCGTAGTAGGTACCAAGAGTTGGGTCTGCCCACCTCAACCAAAAATGCTTTTGATAAGCAGTACTGTTTCAAAGCTTGGGGTACTGAGATAGACTCGCAAACAGGTCTTGTGTCTTCTCCTCTTTCAAAACTTAAGCAGATCGAGCAGTTAGCGGTGGGCATGCTGCAAGGTGGCCTTGCAACCAAGAAAGCGATGCAGAAACTCCTTGGGTTGTTTGTCCATCCTTTTCTTCACAGGAGAGAGTGCATGAGTATGTTCCAGACTGCTTACTTGTTTGTTGATAAGATGCCGGAACAGGGTTGTAAGGAGCTGACACAAGTCTTGCGAGATGAGCTGTGTACTGCAGTTCTGTTGCTGCCTCTTGCGCATGCTAACATCCGTTGGCCCGTCTCAACCCGGATAGCTGCCACAGATGCTAGTTCAAAGCGGGGTGGAAGGGCGTGCACACTGACGACCAAAAGTTTCGCTAAGTCACTGTACCGATTTGGGGAAAGACGTGGGGAACATACTCGTCTTGATTGGGAACATTTAAGCCTTAGTCCCCCTTCAAGCATGACCCCTCTACCAGATGTGCTAGCCCACACCCTGATGAAACATAGCTGGTCGGCTTCACAGTCCTGCGCTTTCGCACGAAAACAACATATAAATCTGTTGGAAATGGAAATGTTGCGACAGGAAATCAAAGATCGAATCAACACAGACCAAGGTGGGTGCAGGGTTGTGAACTTGTGTGATAGTCGTGTAGTTGTTGGTGCCTTTGCAAAGGGGCGGAGCAGCTCTAAGCGGCTAAATCACAAGCTGCGTGCCTGTGTGCCTTGGCTGCTGGCTGGGGATCTCTCGGTTACTAACCTCTGGGTGGACACATGTCACAACCCCGCAGATTACCCCTCTAGGGACAGGCCTATTCCACGCCCCGTGGTTGTGGATGAGCGTGACCCATTTTTGGAACCCACCGAGTTGGCTGCCGTGCAAACTCATCGATCCGTAGGTGTGCAAACTTTGCTGAGTCGGGAAGGACACGCCAGCGATAACGAGCCAATTTTTGAACGGCTTTTGGAGGAACCCGCGCCAGCGTCAGCCCAAGACATTCTTCTACCCGGAGAATCGGCTTCAAAGCCGGTTAAGTTGCACTTCCGAGAATTTTTTGTCGGAAAAGCTTGCCTCACGAAGGCGATGCGCCGTGTGCTAGGGGTGAAAGTTTTGCCATCAATCAACTGCAAGAAGGTAGGTCAAAGTGAGCAGATACTGGATGATAATTTCTTTTCTTTCCTGATGTGTGAAAGCAAAAAGCCTAATCAACTTTGGCACCTGGGCTTCCCTTGTGGATCCTTCTCCATCCTACAGAATCTAAATCACAGCGCTCGCAGCAGAACTTGTCCCACTGGAAACCAAACGGTGCACCGGGAAAGAGAAGGAAACGAGACTTATAGGCGCTTGCTTTTTTTGATTGACAGTTTAGAGGCTGCTGAAAATTTTTGGACCTTCGAAAACCCCAAATCTTCGTTTTTGTGGGACATGCCAGACATGAAATCACGACTTGTACGACAAAACAGCGCCACGTTACACCAGTGTGCATATGGTTTAGTTTTGCCAGATGGGGACGGTGGTTATGGACCATGTAAAAAGAACACCAGGTTTCTGGGTAACTTGGCAGGTCTTAGTCACTTGAGCCGTTTGTGTTCATGTGTTCGACCGCATGTTTATGCTACTAGTGGTGTTCGTACAAAAGCTGGTTGGAAACGAAGATCGGAACTTGCAGGCCAATATCCCAGGCCACTGTGCAATGCTTACGCTGCCCTGGTGTCCAAGCTGTGTCAATGAGTCGAATCATGCAAACAAAAAGGAAGGGTCAAAATTAGGTGCAAAATGCATGTAGTTTTTTAAGCGAGTAGATTTACACTGCCACTCACATGCGGTAGCCTAGATGCTTTGCTAATGGCGCGGAAGTCAGCCGTGTTTTTCCGACTGAGCCGGTTTTCTCCGGAGTATCGCAGCCGCTTGTTGGCCGGGTTGTCGGACCTTCAGGACTTTGCAAGCAAAGAGTACGCGCGACCTTTGAAGTTGTTCCTTAAAAAGGTCAGGACAGCTGACCGTTTCTTAGGGCAATACGTTTTGGACCGACGTGCCAGCTCTAAAGGTGGAGCGCTCTCTTTGGTTAAACATGCTTTACTTGGATGTCAGCACCTGGTCCCTCGCCTGAGAGGCAACATCTCGAGCGCCTGGGAAAACTTGAAAGTGTGGGAAGAGCAGCGAACTGGACACCTTAGGCCACCAGTTCCAGTTTCAATCTGGGGTTTCATGACTGGTTTAGCTAGAGGTCACGGCAAGGTAGCCCATTCTCGTGGTGAGCGCGACGAACGGTTCTTGTTCGCAGTTTTACTTGAACTCGGATTCCTATGTCTGCTACGACCGGGCGAGCTGTTCCGTTTGAAACACTCTGATTTTGCATTCCCTGGAATGTTTTTCCTGAGCCAAGCACACGCTGCGGTGCGTGTCGTGTCCCCAAAGAACCGTAGGCACTTGGGGGCCGAGCAGTTTGTCGCGCTTAAGAATCCTAATAGTATTGCATGGTTGCGACGACTCCTTGTTGAGAATAGCTCACAACTATAGTCTGGCCACACAGCCCCTCACGTTTTCGGTTCCTTTTCAAGCAGTTAACGCGGGAATTGAAGGTTGATGGATGTCGTTTCACTCCAGCCAGCTTGAGACCCGGTGGAGCAACCATGCTTTTTGGACAAGGGGTTGGCATCTCGGTGTTAAGGTTCATAGGTAGGTGGTCGGCGGAACGTTCATTAGAGCACTACATTCAACAAGCCATGGCAACGCAAATTGTAAATAGACTTGATGCCACGGCCATCTCCCGGCTTAAGAAGATAGGAGCCCTTTGTCTAGAACAAATCTTGCTGCCTGAATACAAAGTCTTGTTGCCAACGTTGGAGGCAGAGCGTTTCAGTGGTGACATCTTAGTAGCTTGGTCGAGCCAATATGCAGCACTTGATGTTGGAGCATGGCAAGAAGCTAGTGGCAGGGGGTCCTCTAGCAGGAAAACCGTACGAGCAGGTTCCGCAGGACAGGTTGAAGCGGGCAGCCAAACGGTACAACGGAGATCCAGCTTTTCAAAAATTTTATCGTGCCTGGTCAGCTTTGCGTGACATTGGAGACAGGCCAGACCCTGAACCTTGTGCCCCCATTCAAGCCAATAGAAACCAAATGGCCGTGCCACCTGGAGCTCAGGCTGAAGGGCCGCCGCAGCACAAGTTGTTGAAAAGAATCCTCAACTTGATCGTCGGGTCCTCCTTAGTGCGTTGCGTCCTAGTTATTTTTCTTTTGGCTTTTGTGCTGACACCTTCAGTCTCCTCGATTCTTGCAAAAACCTTGGTCACGTTTTGCCGCTTGAGCCTCCGTCGGCTACTGCACTTCTTGTCCATGCTCTTTGAAGGGATCGTGGATGAATTGGTATACCAGCTGGAACACACTGTCATTGAGTCTTTGCCTAGTGGGGCAGAGGTGCGCGAGCGTGCAAAAGCTTCCTTTCAGGTGTTTTTTGCGCCTTTTGTCTGGCGGTTTTGGAGCCGCTGTCACTCTCTTGGCAACCTGGCGCCGTGGCGCCCTTGCTGCCTAGCTAGCACCACCACAGGGGTGCTGTCTGCACCTGCGCTTCTTTCACAGGCTTGACTTCCACCGCCACCCCGCCACTCGCCTTTGGGTGGATCGGAGTGGTGTGTTTCAACAGTTTTCCTGATGCTGCACGAAGATTGCCACGCACCAGCAAAGCTGCAGTTTGAACCACTTCAACAGTTGTTCGAAGCC